AAAGAGCATCCAAAGAAGGCCATATCACTTATCTTACGCACATATACAATACTATTTTGTGCATAGAATACGATCCAAAACAATAGAAATGAACACAAATGCTCATTTTGTCCAAACCGGGAAAACCATTAGAAGATGGCACATCATACTGACAAATATTACCACTCCTTCCAAGTTTATCTTAACTTTGAGAGAAACTTCTACTGAAACTTCCAAAATAAATTCTAGTGGAAAAAAATCGTATACTGGAATATCAGTATGGATTCCGGAACAAAAATTCGACAATCCATTAAATCCGTCGCGTAATTCATTTGATAAGTAAAGCTCTTGAAAACAAAAAGTATTATTGTAGAGTCTCTTGCCGTAGTTTTTGATAAACTCTGGCACAATGGTTTCTCATAAAACTGCGTGAATAACTGACACATACCTGGAGTACACTTCTTGTATCACACTTGACCGACTGTCAATTCCGATTTCCTAGTCATACATGAAGAAGCAGTAACTGAATGGAAAAATATTTCTGCTAGAGTATCACAAGGTAGTGTTTTAGGAAATATCCTGTACTTACTTTACACGGCTAATATACCAAACGATGAAAACACAACAATAGCTATAATTCCTGACGATACCGTAATTTTGTCGACACGTAAGAATCAGCTAACTGCAACTGATAACTTAAAAAAGTCAATTAAATATTTGATACCATATGATTTAGCATATGGTAACATATTTAGCAGTTTAAGAATTTAATTTTTAAATTAAAAACAGGAATCACTTCACTGGAAGCGTGACTTCATCAATGTGTACAGTATATAAGTATTATTATCTAGTACTTCTGTAAAATATGTACATCGTTAAACATATTTATAAAGTCTGTTGACTCGTTTAAATAATGAAACCTTGGGGCATTTAAGAAAAAATATCAAACAAATTAGGATAGCGTCGATTATGAGCTAGACTGCCGCTGCGAATAATCTAGTCCCGTCTATGGGTTAAGTGGGAGTTTAGTATAGAGGCGAAGGAAAAGGAGAATTCAAATAAAGGTACTATTATAGAGCTCTATAGTCTACATTTATCATGATTTATGGTCCATTAAGAATAAATATATGTAACAAAAAAGACGGGCATAGGTAATTCGCGCGATGGGTGGACCACTAGTGGCGGTTATTAGTTTTCTGTACAATTTTCAAGTCTACAAAATTTCTAACAGAATCACAACAGAAAAATAAAATTTAAAATAATATGTTCCGTACATTTTCTTGTTTTTTCTCAATTATTATGATAACCGCTTGGAAAATAACCACTCAGATAAAATCGTTATTGGTGAGTTGATTCCCAAGGCTTACTTTATGTACGAGTTGATTCCCCTATTGTTGTATATCAGTAATATGGCGATATATATTATGATGATATTTTGTTAAATAACCGCCTCAGCTTATTAGCGTTACCCATGAGACACTACGAGGAGGTAACCTAACCTAACCTAACCATAGATATTATATATTATCCATGACAAAAACATAATTAATATTTATAATCACAATAAAATTGATACAACTTCCCAAATGATAACAAAATATGAAAAATTTAACTGATAATAAAATGAATTATATTATTGAATATTAATATACAATAATACATGTACCCATGTTGCGCGGCACTTAATGGACGAATGTCACTCATGTAGACAGCGTAGCGCCGCGCCGATATTCCGCCCTACTGGACGCTCGGCTTCATAAGCCAGGCAACACATCCGTCCCTGAATAGTGTACCCATCTCGAACCAGTTTCTAAAATTATACGGCTGTTAAAAAATGTTTAGACAAGTAGGTAGGTACATAGAATACATAACGCATTTAATGGAAATTAACAAGTTGTACACGGAATACGGATCTAATAAAAGGTTATCTCCAACGGATTAGTGGGAAAATATAAGTACCTAGCTTTTATAGTTAGTTATAAGATCCCACACGATCCATTGAATTCTAAAATTTACGAACATATACCGTTTATGAGTTCTATGAGAGTTAAATAATTAGACCGAAGAAGTAGGAAATGATTAGTTAGGTATATCGCTTAAAAATTGATATGGAATTTATTATATTTGATAAGTAGATAACAACCTACTCCTCTAGTACCTTTATCCGATTTTATACCTACAACGTTATGCATATTAAAATATTAAAAAAAAAATTCTTCGAAAATATCCTACATGTTGAAAAAGGAAGGTTGCCATTTTCAAATGGAAAGGTAGCATACTAATTCAAAGTGGTAAAAATAGTTGAACATACAGAGTTAAAATAAAGTTTAGCTAAACAATTTAATAATGATTAAAAAAAACAAATCTTTTTGTACTTAATCTAAGATATCAGTAATTTCAGTTTTACAATTTTAAAATGTCTTTCTGGAATCTAGTTTGGATATATTTTTAGTGGGTTATCTTGAAAATGCTGAAGCACTTTTCCTATTCAGTTGGATGTAAATTCTTCAAATTTTTATTTTCATTAAACCCACATTGAAGCATTTAAAAGATTCTTGAAAGGATTAATTTAGTAAGTTTATCTACTGGTAGCTATAATGTATGGTATTAAGATTTTTCTTTTAAATAATGATTTATTACTTTCATTATTCTAATTCTAAAATGAAAATTGACCTACCCTGTCATATAGCCACCTGTGTGAATTATTTAATTTATATTTTTAATACCATTTTTACAATACTTTGTTAATATCAGTGAGTGTGTCAAATGTGATTCAGATCATTAGCGATGCAGGTTATAAGTGATTGTCCCTTCCCAAATATACCTATTATCACTCTGATGATTAGAGAATACTCAGCATTTCAAATTTTTTTCTAAATAATTTGTGTACAAGGATACTTCTGGGTATTTACATAAATTTTAATGAGTAAAATAAAATTATTTATTGTAGTTCACAATTTTTTTTTTATATTTATTGTATAGGTAGTGATGACATAAAGCATATATATTTTAATATATAAACATAATTTAAAATTATCATGTACCTATAGAAAATTTACAATTTGGAAAAAAAGATTATAATTGAACAAATCTAATGGCAATAGTCAAAACAACACATGAAAATAATGTATACTTTCAACATAAAATATTGGTATAATTATTAATCACTAGATCTATTAGTTCAATAAATAATAAATACATACTTATCTTATACAATTTTGGATAGATGCACTTTATATTACACAATACACATACAAATAGGGTATGAAAAAAATCTAATAATGGAATAATTTAAAATGGAAATGCCACAAAATTAAATTACTTTAGAGCATATATTTATTATATATATATATTTTTAAAACTAAGGAACTAGACTTTATTATATTTATGTACACAAAGACTGTAAATAAAATATTTGTATTTTTCTATATACTAATAGTATAAAAGTCTCAAATTTGAAATAAAAACTAATAAAATACACCGATCAATATCTAATATAAACAAAATTCACAAATTCAATGATAGCATCATTACTTCACACACAATATATTAGGATTAACAAATAATATAGTGTGCAACCAATTTGTTTAATTAATTTTACACATCAAAATTATATTAATACATACATTATAATGTATATCAATGAAATAAATTGATACAACAATTTAATGTGTAATATTTATTTAAGAATACAGCTTTTTTCTTTTCTTTTTTTACAATAAATTGAATAATAAAAAAATTATTTTAAATGACATAATTCAAAAAAAAAAAAAAAAAAAAAAAAACAAATGAATGTATACAATTTGTTTTCTTACATAAAAAAAAAATAAAAATAATGAACTGATTTATCATTATAAACAATTATAGATTTATAAGTATGTAATTTATAAATTTATTATTTATATAAATATTATAAATAAAAAATATAATATTTTGGTGGGATACATAAAATAAAATAATTTTCATAGACATTTTGTCTTGGAATGGTTTTAACTTTTTTAGACATATTACAATAAAAAAGAAATACAAGTGGAGTCATTACATTATTTTCTACAAATATATACATAATTTTAAAAAAAACCTATCACGTGTGATATTTTTATATAAATTAAAATTATGTTATAATTTAAATCATAACTACAGAATTTTTGTTTGCTACATAGGAATATATGCTAGTAGAGGTACAAATCTGTTTCATAAAAATAGTTTTGCCATTATTTAATGTATAAGTGCATGCTTATTTATGGATTTTTTTAGTGTATGAACTTATGAGCCCTGCTTATGAATAATCATTTTTTCCTCTCTCTTATCTTTTCTCCCATTCATTTGGAGTCAGCCATACTTATGAATAATCATATTTATTAATGTATTAATCTGATTACACTATATTTAAAAATATAAGTTTAGTCTCTGAATTATAAATGAAACACAAAATTAATTACAATTTATAATACATATCAAAATAAATACACAATAAAACATTTAAATAAAATTATAGTTTGTACGATTTAGGTTTTTTTCTATTTGTGTCTGGTCATGTTAGCAACCATATCCTAATCAGTAAGCTACGAGTTTTATAATTTTTGTTTCTAGTTTGTATATATATATATGGATTCATGACAAAATGTAGCAAATACATAAAAACTTTCAATATTGCAACAGTACCGTAACCAAGGTGTATGGCCTTTCTAAAACCTATTTATGTTAATTTATCATTCAAAGGCAATAACAAAAATTATAAGTGCCCCAAATTTTTTTTCTGGCTACGATATTGTCAGAACATAATTTCTTTAGCTACTTAAAATTACAAAATTAATTTAAAATATATTTTATTGTAAAATTGTACAATATATTATTACATTATATTATACAATTAATGTAAAAATGAATACATTAAAAGCACTTCAAATATTTTAAAGTAGCCATGGGAATGGAGTACATGAAAAAAATATTTTATTATTTTCTCATATAAACCTAAAATGAATAAATTGGATATTATGATAAAATAAAATAAAAAAATTAGTTAAAAAAATAATTGATTATTTAATTTAATTTTAACTTTGTACGAATTATAAGAAAATGCTTCAAAGTTAGTTCAAAAATGCATTATTAAAACTAATATGTAAAATATATGTATCTGGTATCATAATACAAATTTACAAAACCATTCAATTTATGAATAATGAAGGCGAAGTGCACATGCAAATTGTTGTTTGAACTGCTATTATCAGCTTAATAGAATAAACTTACTGATTATTGATGTATTTTAGTATGAGCATCATAATTATATTTACGCATAAATATTTTTCCACATATGTCACAGCTAAAAGATGCTTTTTTAACATAATTGTGCACTAACATGTGTAGGTCTAGGTTACTTTTACTCAAAAATGCCTTGTTGCACAATGTACATGTGAATGGTTTATCTCCTGTATAAGAGACATTCATCTCATGTGTTCTTTTGTGTACAACAAGATATGAATTTAGTTTAAAAGTACGTCCACAGACATCACATGAATGTAATGTTCCATTTTCATGACCTAACACATGTTCTTTCAGTTTTGACTTGTTTGAAAATTTTTTTGTGCACAAATGACAAGTATAAGATATACGGCGTCCAGAATTTTGTTTTTTATGAGCAGCTATATGGCTGACAATTTGTGTTCGCAGTTTATATACTTTGCCACAAAGTGCACATTCAAATCTGGAATCTGTGCCACAATGTATAGTTATATGTTTTTCTAATCGAGTGGCTTGTTCAAAGGTTTTATTACATATAGCACAGCGATGTACTTTATGTTCAGTGTGCATACGCATGTGTTGTTTTAATTGTAAAGGTGTTTTCACCTTGTGCAGACAAAGCTGACAAACAATCCATTCTGATTGACCATTCGTCTGTGGAGTGTTTTCATCATATTCAGAAAAATTAGAACTGTTGCATTGTCTGTTAGGTGTTTCAGAACACGAAGAAGAACTAGAACTAGAACATGAGCTACTGGATTCACCGTCAGAATCAGAAGATGAAGACGAAGAAGAACCAGAGTTGTTTAATTCATCAGTAGGAGGACTTTCAGCAGTCACATCGCCCATCATAGTACTGGAAAAATGTAGAATAGTAACATAGAAACACTGAAAACATAAATATTACATAATATACATTTATTTAAATTTTTCAACAAAAAATTAATAAGAATTACATTCGATTTTTAGATTAAAATTAAGTATTTCTTGAAAAAAATAATTATTATATAATTTCTCTCATATTCATTTATCAATCATTTTCATCAGTCTAAACATTTTTCTATTATAGGTACTAATATATTAATTAAAAAATGGTAGGGATTTATGTAATCATTTCTACACATATCATGTATATTATAGTAAATACCTATTATCTGTAAAAATAATCCAATAGTATACGATTAAATAATTCGGTATTTACTATAATAAAATTACTTTAGCGCTTCAAAGAATTTAATTGGATAAAATATCTACACATTGTAGTTACCACTTATTTTTAGTATAATTATCAAAAGTACAGACTGAGGAGTTTTGGTTTTATTTTTCTATTTTATTTAAGTTAATAAATTTGTATTAATTTTCATATAGCACACTACAATTATAGATTTTTAGATTCAAAAACTTATAATTGTATAGGTACTTGGATTTTACAAATATAATGAAAATATCAATACAAATATTTGCATTTTAAATATCTACGTAAATGCTTTACTTTCATTACACTAAATACTATTTCGAATGCTCATGATAAAATAATCTAACGAAATAAGTACTTTATTACATTTTTTAAAGTATTAATTAGATTTTAATCTTGGTAAACTCAATATCTCATCTTTAACTAAGTACAAGGTTATTGAAACTACATAATATATTATATTTGAGTAATTTTCTTACCTGTATCAACTTAGAGTTTAATGGTAACTGATTGAATATTTTATAATGGGTACCTACGTGTAAAATATAATTAATCACAATAATCAAATACAATAAAAAAAATATTGAATTACGGTAATGCAATAGTAAACAAAGCATTAATTGCGTTTGGAATATAAATAATATATAATTTTAAGTAACTAGGTATATTAGCTATCTAGCTGAATCAAATAAAAAGATATAGGTATAACATTAATTTGTTGTTGATATGGGCGAGCCATCAAAGTTAGGAACGTAGGTACCGATCCAGTATCCGTTACAAATATATTTGGTCTGCACTTGTTGGCAACTGAATAGGTACAATTGTGTTAAATCATAATTTTGAAAAAAAGCGTATGTTCAATTTAGATACATATAGTTAAATATCTAATTGAAATTGGACTGATCGTTCAAATATTTGGATTGACATTTTTTTAGTCAATAAAAGAACAATAATAATAGTAGTAATAACAAAGTGATAATAATAATTATTGTGTTTTAGTGTAAAAAGTTGAAAATTAGTTACTAACTTCATTCTTTCAAAACTCGTTCAGCCAACAGCTACTGCCTTGTACGTTTTGAGCAATCATAAATTGAATGGACTCTAGTATTATTACGGGGTTTGTCTGTGATTTCGTGTACGTCTACAATAGTTGTGATAATTGATAAGTGGGTTTACAAGTTTCTCACAAACCTCATTTTTTTTGTATTTACTATTCGATCAAATACTACATGGATCGCATCGTGGAAGAGGACAGTTCAGAACAGATTGCAGCAACTTTTTTGAGGAAAAGGTTCCTCGAAGTTCTTTCAAAAATAACTGGTAAGGAAGTAGGTAAATACCGTCAGGTTAATTTAGTTGTATTATTCAAAATAAAAATCGTGATTAAGCAATATAGATATTGAAAAAAATTTAAGTAAAAGAGTTTGATTAGTAACAAAAATAAAAATTAATAAGTCTTTAATTAGTTAATTAATAAGTTTTTTTACTTCACTATCTTAAGTATTTTTTATTTTGGTTTTTATCTTCTTCGATGTCTATAACCTAATTCTAATATTTTGTTGGACTTAATTTTTGAAGTTAGATCAAGATGTATCGTTTATTAATTATTAACCTGAATCATTATTATGCAATTTTCAAGCTTACGTTAATTATGTTTGAAAACAATTTATCTAATATTGACATTAAGACAATAGTTAAATATTTATGAACAAAAATAACTAAATGTTGTAGACTAGAGTCCAATTCACACTTGTATAGCATGACATTCAAAATTTCATCTAGTTCACATATGACAGACATACACTTACGTACATTATTTAAAAGCAATATTAGTTTGACTACAATTTTTATTTTGAATTTTAACTCTTTTTCGAGGTAAGTTATACTTAGTCAACATTTTCAAAAAGTTATTATTTTTTAATCAATCTGATATATATTAATTTATTTTTTAATTTAATTTTATTCATATAAATAAAAATATGTATATCTATTTCAATTAAGTTGATTCTGACAGACCAACAACACATTCAAACAAGGAATGTTTTGTTGTTTTTGAACAGTGCTGTCCACATTAGTGTGTATAACCGTATACAATTATGTAGGTATAATAATTTGTTGTGCCGTGTTTTTTCGTGTAGTACCAGTGTGAATCAGGCTTTAAGCTTGAAATACCAAACAGATACTATTTTCTTATACTTTGAAGAAAACAACATGTTTAACTTAACCCAACATTATTTAAATTATAGATGGTTTATAAATATAGACATCATTTATATATTCAATATTGAATAAACAATTTAAAACTAACTAATATGTAATATGCTTAGATATAAAGTATATATATATACATTTTATTAAAATGTTTTAGTTTTTTTTATCGTTATTTATTTGATAATTCATTCTCAACAAAAATGTAATACTAATATTTTAATAAATATATAATATATAATAAAATAAAATAAACCAATTAATATTCAATGTTTGTTTTTTTAGATAGAAAGTGTACAATTATTTTATATGATAATTCTACGGTGACAGCTTTATTAGGTGCTTCAACTGGTTTATACAATTATATTGGTGTTGTTGATTTGCATACTCCAATAGGAGTAATTTTAAACGCTCAGATCAGAACAAAAGATATTCAAAGTCTTCAAGTAGAAATTGGTAAATAACTGATGAATATTGTGATTACTTAATGTATCTTTCCAACATTTTATTTTAACTAATTATGTTGGTATTTCAGATTCAAATTCTGACGAAGATGTCTGATATTGAATTGTTTATGTCAATTGGATTTTCTGAAACTAAAACCAAAGAAACATTAAAAAATAAAAATTTAACCACTAGTTTGAAGACAGTCATAAATGAATTTTTAAAAACTAATAAACCATTGTCCAATTATGGATCATTATTGTACCACTTGGCTTCTAAGTTAAAAAATCATGATTCTAAGCACATATGTCTCATTGTTAAATATATATCTGAAAATAAATTAGATACAACCCAAAGAATTGACTGCGGTTTGGAGTTTTTGCGTTCTTCGATTTCTGAAAATATAAATATAACAGAGTTTGAAAATGTGTGTGGTGTTGGAATTATTGTTACTCCAGAGGAAATAAAGCAAACCGTTGAGTCTTTTATCGCCCAAAACAAAAAAGAAATTGAAGAGAAAAGATATAAATTTAATATTGGAGGTCTTATGCAAGAAGTTAGAAAAAAATTGTTGTGGGCTGATGGAAAGGCAATAAAAAATGAAGTAGATAATCAAATCTTAACTATTTTAGGTGCTAAAACTGAAGCTGATTTAGCACCTATTCAAAAGCAAAAAAAAGTTAAAGAAATCAAATCTGTAGAAAAGAAACCCTTTGCTTATGTACCAATGTCCATTGAAGAAGTAATGAGTAAAGTGGATTTTCATAAACCAGGAGATAATTTTAAAACTGATGGTTATGTTATTACAAAAAACACAGAAAAATTATTAGCCAAACATCTTAAAGAAACAGACGGTAAAGTGATTACTAGATTCCCTCCAGAACCTAATGGCATTTTACATATAGGTCATGCAAAGGCCATCAATATTAATTTTGGGTTTGCTAAAAATTCCAATGGAGAATGTATTTTAAGGTAAACTTACTAGTGCCACAAAGTTTAACATTTTTATTAATGAACTTATTTTATTATAATTATAGGTATGATGACACAAATCCAGAAAAAGAAGAAGAAAAATATTTTACTGGTATCAAAGAAATGGTAGAATGGTTAGGTTATCAACCACATAGGATCACTCATTCTTCGGACTACTTTGATGAACTATACAATTTGGCCATTCAGTTGACAAAAAACGGATTAGCATATGTCTGTCACCAAAAACAACAAGACATTAAAGGATTTAATCCACCACCATCGCCATGGCGTAATCGTTCAATAGAGGATAATTTACACTTGCTTGATTTGATGAAAAAAGGAGTGTTTAATGAGGGAGAAGCCACATTAAGAATGAAAGTTACACTCGAAGAAGGTAAACAAGATCCAGTTGCTTATCGCATCAAATTTTTACCACATCATCGCACTGGAAATAAATGGTGCATTTATCCTACTTATGATTATACCCATTGTCTTTGTGATTCGTTAGAAAATATTACTCATTCTCTTTGCACTAAAGAATTTCAAAATCGAAGATCTACTTATTACTGGTTATGTAATTCTTTGGATCTTTATTGTCCAGTCCAATGGGAATATGGTCGTCTTAATATGAATTATACAGTTGTATCGAAAAGAAAAATTGTTAAATTAATTGAAAACAAAATTGTTAGAGATTGGGATGACCCAAGGTTGTTCACATTAACTGCATTACGGAGGAGAGGTTTTCCTGCCAAATCTATTAATTCGTTTTGTGCTCGTATGGGCATTACTGGAGCTCAGGTTATTGTGGATCCTCAAATGCTTGAATCTGAAGTTCAAGATTATCTAAATCTTACAGCACAAAGAACTATGGTAACTCTAGAACCTTTGAAAATTGTAATTACTAATTTTGAGGAATTAAATAAGCAAAAGTTATTAAGTGTCCCTGATTTTCCTAGTGATCCTGATAAAGGCTGGCATGATGTTAATTTTTCTTCAGTACTATATATTGAATCAAATGATTTTAGTCAGAATCCAGATAAAGATTACCGGCGTCTAACTGTAGATCAATCTGTTGGTTTAAGATATGCCGGGATTGTGATTAAAGTGGTAGAGGTGAAAACGGCTGGAACTGTAATAGAAGAAATTCGTGTTGAGGCATTCGATGTTAAAACTGCACCAAAACCAAAAGCATTTATTCATTGGGTTTCTAATCCAATAGAAATTCAAGTGAGATTATATGAACGATTATTTATACATAAAAATCCTGAAGACACCGAACAAGTACCTAATGGTTATCTTAGTGACATTAATCCAGATTCATTGAAAATAGTCAAAGCTTATGCAGATGAGTACATATCAAATTCACCTGTATTAAAAAATTATCAATTTGAAAGGTTGGGGTATTTCTGTGTAGATTCTGACACAAATGATACTGAATTAGTGTTTAATAGAACAATAACATTAAAAGATGGTTCTGCAAAATAATTTGAATTATATTGATATATTTTCTAATAAAATATATCATACATTTATTATTTTTGGCTAAATAATTTAATATAAACATCCAACATACAGTATGTTTAATTAATGATTAATAGAGAATGATATTTTGAAATAAATATTTTACATATTATATTAAAATGGTAAACTATTTAATTTATTTTTTCTAATTGAGAAACTAACCTTAATTTAAAAGTTGTAATAATATACAATTATTATTTTGTTCAATATTTCTGTACCATAGTTTTATTAAACTTAAATAAATTTAATCAAAAAGTCCAGTGATTGTAGTGAAGTTGTACATGTTTTGAGTGCTTATATAACTTGAAGTGAAAACATAAAGTATGTCTGTTCACTTTGTTATCTAAAAATTGTAACTTAACAGGTGGCTAGTACATTTCATAGTTTCTTGAAAAGTAGTGAAATGTTTTGTGTTTGCATATAACAGTAAATAAAAACTTGATAATATAAAATTAATTTGATTTTTCAATGTCTTGTTGTACCTATTCATTTTTAAATCTCAATCATCTCAATAATAGTATTTAACAATTATTTCACTATCAAAATTAAAAAATAATAATTGATCAAAATAATTATGGAATGAAATAATATTCAGTGGATATGTATAAATAATAAAATAGATTATAATCAGTGGTGTTACTCATGAAAGATAAAACATACTAATATACTATATTAGTATATTATTACCATTAGATATCCATTTACTTTTAGATTCTGAGCGCAGCAAGGAATGTATTGGTTTTAATATGACGTATGCAACTTTTTACCGAAAATCTTGCTTCAATTAAAAATGACAAAATAGTTTATTTGTATTATGAAGATTTAGTGGAGGGTTTTTTGGTTTTCCTTAATTTTTATAATAGTTGGAGAAAAATGGACAAATATATGACAATAAGTTCTATTTATTGTATTTTAGTTAAAAAATAATTGAAGAGATTTTAAAATTTCACAGAATACTTTATTCATATTTTCTAGAACAGTTTGTATACTCAAATCATTTTGAACTATTAATAATTATTTGGCATTCTTGTGTTTAATTGTTTTAATGTAGATAAAAAGTTGTTTTGGCTGAGCACCACTGGCTGAGTATACCTACAAAGTATAGAGTTTAAAATGTAATTTTTATAATACAGCGGCAATACGGTATAACCATCATTGATTTACAAATAGTGGAGGATACTGAAAAACATCGAGAGAAAGTAACAAAAATTAAAATGAATTTAACCATACACATTTATTTTTAGAATGAACTTAGTATTGAAAGATCTCGAATACAGTATCAGATTCAGAACTCACAATTGGTAGGGGATAACACACGTCATGCGTTACAAACGGCCATAGCTTCTTTTTCTTCGAGTAATTCTTCAGGTCAGTAAACCTATATTTGGAACCCTGTACTACTGCAAGTATAGTGTCCTAAATGACTAAATGTATTATTAAGTTGTATGTAAATATGAATCCCTTCATGAGGTAATGTCGTATGTTGATAACTCAAAATTAAATATGACCGACAGATTATCATTACACTATGTTTTTGTCTATTTTGTCTAGTTGATTTCAGGAAAAGTGGTCCTCGACGGTGGCGCGCCTAGTAGACTATTTGACTCAGTGGCTCTAAAACAAGCGTGAAACAAAGCACGGCAAGTTTAAATTAATTACTTATTTTATATTATCTTATATATGATTATTTTTACATCGTAATTTAAATGCAGTATTTCATAATACAAATTATGAACAATTCATCTAATTTAGTATCACGATTTTTATTTGTCTGCAAATACAAATAATACAATTAATTAATATAACGTTAAAAAAATATGAGAACCACTGGTTTGTAGAAGTACCGCCCACAAGGCATGCCACCGTCGATGGCCATTTTTCGTGAAATGCATCGTAGTAATTTTATGAAGATTTGAAAAAAAACAACACATTTAATCAAAACAAATTTTGAAAATCTTAAGGGAGATGACACTGGTAAGTTTTGTTTTTCTCAAATGTATTCTCTTTATTTTTAGTAATATTTTTACTAAAAAAGCAAGATTTTTATTGTGTAGCCAGTTGATATAAAAATTCGCGTATGTAAAAGGTTAATTTTAGATAAATGGTATTACCTATATATTTGTTAATGGCATAAATATAAATATATATTACATGGTTCACCTTTGATTAAAATATATCATCATTGGTTACGATTGAAAATACATTGGTAGCATTTAGGCAGGTACCTAGACTAGTTAAAAATACCTTCTAAATGTAGGTATTTAACATATATTTTTGAATGCTTGGGTAAATTGTGCTCGAATATTATTTTTATACTTTTTTCCAAATATATTTGATTTACTTTGAAAGATTTCCACATTCAACAAATTACGAATAAATACTTAAATTTATGTATGGATATTTAATTTAAATAGATTCAAGAATTTCTGATAATGCATATTAGCATAAACTGATAACTTATCAGTGATAAGATATTATTAAACATATTACTATTACATTTTAAAGAAATCATATGACTTTTATTCTTAGAATTTCTAAGAATTATTTTAAAAACAGTTAAATTTTAAATTTTGAAATACGAAAATATGATATTTTAATGGTATAACAAACAAAAGTATTTTATAATCGGAATAAAAATACGATAAAAAAGACGTCATAGGAAAATGGGAACAGGTGCAAATACTGTTATAGATAATTTAATGTTTACCTGTAAGCAACGATAAACCAGATAAACCATTGCTTATGAAAAAACGATTCTGAGCGGAGTTCAGTAGGCAATGATGCATTGTCAATAATGTAAGTCTTTTTATAGTCAAATATTTAAAAGGTTTTTTATATTTTCTAATATTTTTATATTTGTTTAATGCTGTATGGTTGTACTGATTTTCCCAGTTTTCCTATGTTTTCTTATGTTTTCCTCTGTTTTTTTTTTCGGTTTTTCGCATTTGATGAGAAAACTCTTGAGAAAATCGAAAAATTACCCCTTCATACCCTTCATACCTACCCACAACGATTTTTTTCAGAAAAGGTGCTACACTTAAAAGTCTTAACAAGTCTTCTGGTAGAAAAATTGCGTTCAGATAAAAAAAAACACATCTTTATAAAACTATTAGCTTCTTTGCTCTACTAAGAATCTAAAAGTATTTTCAAATTATTTAATTTTACACATAATTTAGATATTCTAGTATTAAAGTACAATAATAAAAATTATTTTCAAGGTAGGTATTTAATTTTTGATGTAATTTAGATTTACCTACCCAAGTTGATTTATATATTATTCACATTCAATTACGACACGAATTTCTTTTTCCTCGTTGAGTGTGGACCGATATTTTGATTTTAATACGGCTACTGCTGAAAATACGATGTGACAAATGGTATTAATATACCTAAAGCTTTGTTGCTAACTTCATGATATTCATCTGTAATACCGTTCCAAAATGAAGAAAATTGCATTCATATTGAAGTATCGGATGGATAAGATCTGATAATCGTTTCCGTAAAACTGTTATCGTTAACGTAGTTGATCTAAAAATAACTATATGTACAAAATTTCAACCGCGCGCCGCACAGTTGTGGAACCGCCGGTATAGTGTGAATAGATATTAATATGAACAGAGCATATGATTTATAGGCAACTACAGGTGTTTATAAATTGCCTTTAATGCGTAATATATATATATTTGAACATTTTAATGCATTTTATTTTCGATTTATATCCCAGTGACAGACAGAAATATTGACCATTAAATTGTATTTAAGTTAAATGTAAAATAAAAACAAATTGTATATTATCATCCATGACAGGTATCTACTTCTACCCAACTACTTACATATTGTGATGTTTAATTAGTTATACAGTTCCTTATTAATTATATATTTCGTTCGCGTTTACACTTACCCGATCTGATTTCAATTGAAATATTTTTAAGGGGAAATTTTTATTTCACGTGATTTACCTAGTAATTGGCGACAGGGCAGTTACAGTGCCCCGTAACCATTTTATCCTTTTACTAAAATCCACGCGCAGGCGTATAGTGCAATATCGTATTGATATATTATGTGTACACAATATACAATATTATTGCACGGTCATAGAGATTACACTCACATGTATAGGACATAGGCACACGTTATTTGCATTTATAATTATGCGATGAAAAGAAAATACAAGTACAACATAAGTTTTAGAACATGTATTTAATTTATTATACGACTATTACTTAAAACTAACCATTAATATTGACTAAATTCCATTGAATTTTTATACCTTTATATACTATAATAATAATAATAATAATGTGATATAGTTGATCACCATATTTATATATAAGCTTACATATCTAATAATTTTTAAATAAATTTATAATTTTGTATATAATAATAATATTCTCGTATAACGTTTAATATACGTTACATAAATACGGTGCACCGGAATATTTCCCACATGACTAGCTTCATTGGCTATGTCTTTGTCAACAATAATTACTACATACATTTTTTTTTTTTTAGTTTTAATATTAAATAGCTGTGTGAAATTAAATCATATTTCAATTCTTTTTTTTTTTTTTAAATTACACAAAAATGAATTTTCAAACATAAAAAAAAAAAATTATAATCAACATCGATATGTTCTGTTTTAAAATTTTTAAGTACACAAAAACACATTCTATTTCCTACGCATTGTATCCATTAATATATATATATATATATATATATGTAGTATATATATATACAATAAATCGAAAAATAATATTAAATCTGTCAGATGACCAAGTAATTTTCGGTAACAAATCAATAACAATTGACTTAAATGTAAATGACATCAATACTATCATTTTTTTTGGTTTGATTTTTTTTATATATCAAAATATACATATTATATTATACTTATTTTTTTATTTTTTTTTTTTTATTCACTTTTATGTAATTTACAAGGCACACCAGATTGGACTTATATAATAATACATTTATTTTTTATTTTGTACATTTAGCTTTTTTTTTTTTATGGAAGTATTTTAGTTGGTTAGATCGGCAACGGGAAAAGGGCCGAACCCTTTTGAAATTGATAAAGTATTTGTTAATATTATATTTTATCCCAAATTAAGGAAATTTAATACTTGGGCGGGATATCTATGGATACTTTAACCAGTATTTGAATTATACTGGTAAAAGTTGATTAATTTAGTTCTACGATACAACAAATTCGATTCAAATACCCCAGTTTTAGAAAAACACTGTATAAATTTTTAAAAATGGAACTATAATTTTCTCCTAGTCGACATCGATCTAAATGCTAAAAAACTCGTAATAATAACTTTACTGATTCTAAGTGTAAAAAACAATCTTCAGTCTTTTTTTTATATAAAAATTAGAGTTTTATATATGTGTGTGTATAGTAAAAAAATGTACTACAAGCTTGATTGTTGTATATAGGTAGAAAATAAGAAATATATAAGATAGGGTGTCACCAGTTTATATTATTTCTAATCTACGAATATGCTCAAAATAGAATACAAATTCCTGTAATTTCTTTTTTTAAACTTAAGCTCGTATATATTTATAAAAAAAAATTATGGAGTTTTAACGATGCTACCCGGAAGGGGAGTGTTTCTGTTTATAGTCTGGAAAATGGTCGCCTTTGTCTGGCAATTATAAATCGCGAAAAATGTTCGTAAATAATTGTATTTATAAAAATTGATTACTTTACCTTGTGCTTGGTTAATAGATTTGACATTTAATATCACCTTAAAAATATGTATAAAATAAACCTATTCAATAATGTATATATATATATATATATATATTAAATATATATAATGTATTAATATGTATTATAATTTAAATTAACACGACAGATAATTATACATTTAAAGGTACGTGATAATAATATTAGGTTAACTAAGTAAATAATATAATATAATATAATATAATAATGTATTCCCTTAAAATTAAAATTGATTAATAATCTTATTGTACACATGACTAGAGATGTGGCTGTTATTAAAATTATGATATAAATTCTTTAAAATATATTATTATTATACATATGTATATGTATATATATGTATAATACTAATCTAAGCGTTAAAACAAAAATAAAATTACATTATGGACTAGGCATAATATTATATTATATATATATATATATTTTTTTTTTTTTTATCGATAATTCTTTTAATATATTATACGGATAAAAATAAAAACACAATAATTGTAGTATGCAATCGTATTCGTATTATACGTTTAAACAGTTATTTTAGATATTTTAATTTAAAAAAAAAAAAAAAAACATTAATCAGTTTACTCTTAATATAATAATTGGATGGCTATTAGTATGTTTTGTTATGTATACATAATATATATATATGTTTGTGTGTATATATATATATATATATATTATATACATTTTATTTTAGGTACATATATTTGTATCGTGAAAATATCATATATCGAAATGTATCGATCAGTATAGGTCATCTAACCCCCTGTATTAAAATACATTGGTTAAATATTTTATTTTTATTAATTTTTTTTTTTTTTTGCACATAATTTTAGTATTAACACTTTAGTTTTGGGATAGTTACTTTTATAAAATATATCACATTTAAACTGTCCAAAATTATTTTCAATGTTTGGCACAAAAATGTATTTTACCGAACCCGTTGAGTAATAAGTATAATATTATACGTCTTCAATATTTCGACTTTTAATGGCCCAAAAATATTCGTCTAGAATTCACGCGAAAAACGATGGATCTGCGTCGATCGCTTATATAAATTCAAATCTAAAATATTAAATAAACAATAATTTGCGTACACAAACAAAATAAATAATCGAAATATATA